TAGGGTTTTGTAAAGTAAAAACTCATACCTCATGTAACACAAGACCCACCTATTTATATGTCACTTCCTTGCTTTCTTTGTACGCTTTTACCAGACCGTTATTGGGCCAATCCCATATATCAACACACCTGCTCAATTGCATTGACTTAATTAATTGTATCTGCTCGGTCCATGAACTGAGCCGATCTCACGCGGTCTATCTACATGATCCACTATGCTATATCATCTAGTCCCCCCATTATCAAACGAGCTATGATGACTTCAAAGAGACTTGTTTGATAATTACTCAATACTAGGGTGCCTTTCAAAATGGTACCCCCGATGTAAACCGAACCACTGGTTTGTAACCCCTAACCGAGATATCCACGCGGCCAGGAGCTGCGTCCGCCGCTTGACCGAGCAAATGAAGCCATCTCGCCACTCGTCTCTCATGTGGAGCCGAGTGCTATTTTTATTATATCATCGGCTCTTTTTTTTATGGTCTAATTTCTGACCCAAAACTGAAATTGTCAACAATTTACAGCAAACGCACATTACTACGCAAAAATCCCTACTTGAGTAGTGATGTGCTATTGCACACTGGACCGGCCTTTTTCGATCTCCAATCGCCTGAGCCCTCGGACACCTGCAAGGACGCTGGGAAGTGTTCCCGGCGGTAAACCTCGGACGCTCAAGTTAGTAAGGTATCAAAGAGAAGCACAGTTTGTAGATTAGGGTTTTGTAAAGTAAAAACTCATACCTCATGTAACACAAGACCCACCTATTTATATGTCACTTCCTTGCTTTCTTTGTACGCTTTTACCAAACCGTTATTGGGCCAAGCCCATATATCAACACACCTGCTCAATTGCATTGACTTAATTAATTGTATCTGCTCGGTCCATGAACCGAGCCGATCTCACGCGGTCTATCTACATGATCCACTATGCTATATCATCTCAAACACCTGCCCCCTTGATGATGTCAACGGAGTATAGTGCTCGTACCTGAACCCCATATGCCCCCTATCATCACTCCTATAGTCCTTCCCTCCTGACTTTCTATCTTTTGGTCGATGCCTGTCATCATGTTTCTTTCCCCGAACTCGGTCATGTGCCTCAAAATCAGCTTCCGTTTCCTCCATATGCATATACTTGGTGCACCTTTCCAACAACTCGTCATAAGATCGGGCGGGCTTCTTAGCTAGGGAGTTCCTGCAATGGCCTGCCTTCAACCCCGTGTTAGCCCACCAGCCTTGATTTCTTCAGTCGCTTGAGGAACCTCCACACACGCGCGAGTACACCTAGCCACATACTCCCTGAGGGATTCATTTTCATGTTGCTGCATGTTCATCAGGGACATATACGTCTTCTCATGTTTCCTTGCACTAGAGAACTGATTGACAAACAACGAACTAAATGCGTCAAAGCTATAAACAGATCCTACAGGCAATTGGTGGAACCAGTCTTGAGTCGAACCCTTCAAGGTTGTCAAAATGGCTCTGCAACAAACGCCATCAGTATATCGATGTAAGACCGCAACATTCTCAAAGCTCCGCAAATGCCTCGCCGGATTTGAGGACCCATCGTAATGTATACTCGGCTCCCTGAAATTCTGGGGTAAATCAGCACCCAAAACATCGTCAGTGAAGGGATGACCCTGCATCCTGGGATGCCGCATGACTTCAACCCCTGCTTGGAGCTCTTTGATCTGCTTCGCCATCTGCTCCATCATCACATCCCTAGATGGCCTCGAAACCACGGGCGACATCACCAACCTCTCCTCCTGATCGTCCCTGCGACGACTACCTCCTCTTAAAGGCCTAGACACCACAGGGACATGTTGCTCGACCTCAGCGACTGGCCGCTCCCCCACCACGACGGGTCGTTCCACCACCACAGCAGACCGCTCTACCACCGTAGCCGGCCTTTTGACTATCGCCTTAAGCCTCTCCACTATCGCCGCATCTCGTGCTGCCAAAGCCCGACCTACCGCCTCCGCGACTATGCGATCCAACTCTCCTCTAGTCACTTGCACCATTGGTCCTCCTCCCTCCGGCGCCCCATCCGTCACCGATGTTCGTACCACCACCTCCTGACCCGTTCCCTGGGTTGCCAATCCCTGCTCCTGATCCGTCGGGGGAACTGGGGGTACCCCTTGTATCATAATAGGAGGAGTGGTCATCGAGCCATCTCCGCAGACCCATCCCTTCGGCGGCCCTCCACCAAAGGGCGTCTTCGCTACCCACGCCTCGTCCAAACTATCATTCAAGTTCCTCCTTGACTGCTCATCCGCGATCGTATTCGTCATCCTCTTATCCTCAATCGGTAGAAGAAAATAGTAAGTCCCACAGACGACGCCAATTTGATATGCTATTGCACACTGGACCGGCCTTCTTCGATCTCCAATCGCCTGAGCCATCGGACACCTGCAAGGACGCCGGGAAGTGTTCCCGGCGGTAAACCTCCGACGCTCAAGTTAGTAGGGTATCGAAGAGAAGCACAGTTTGTAGATTAGGGTTTTGTAAAGTAAAAACTCATACCTCATGTAACACAAGACCCACCTATTTATATGTCACTTCCTTGCTTTCTTTGTACGCTTTTACCAGACCGTTATTGGGCCAAGCCCATATATCAACACACCTGCTCAATTGCATTGACTTAATTAATTGTATCTGCTCGGTCCATGAACCGAGCCGATCTCACGCGGTCTATCTACATGATCCACTATGCTATATCAATACATATGTGGCAATATGGGAAGATCGCGTCGTTTTACACATCACATCAACCTTAAAATCAACAGTTGATATACACATCATTTATGTTATCAACTATAGTATGTACTAAAAATCGGGCTTGGCGGGCTCGACAGCCAGGCGGCTTTGGCCGCCTAGGCGGACCTAGACGCTTTTACACGTGTTCGGCGACAATTTTTTCAATTTTTGTTTAATTTTTTAAAATACTAATCATGTTTTCTTTATATTATATTAATAATATTATTTGAACTGAGGTATGTTCATTTATTACAAGTTGAGATACCTTTATTTTGTAAGTAGTGAAAATAAATAAAAAATAAAATATTTAAACTTGACTTCTAGGCCCCGTCTAGGCGCTGTAGGCGCTAGGTGCTGGTTGAGCGCCTTGCGACTTCTACACTGGTTATCAGTACAGAAAAAAATGTGTCAAATAGCAATTATATATTCTTATTACACATTATCTGGTTTTATTATAAACTCGGTAACAATAGTTGTACATGAAATTATTCACAAAATGGTGGATCATCATGTGGAACATCAGTTTGGCTATGAGGCCATCGGGCTTATGGAAACATCAACAATTATTAACAAATGTGTATTAACATGCGTCTTAGAATTAATATATTTTAGACATGTATCAGTACATCAAGTTATGGATGACCTCATAAAAGAGTTATCCGGTGCGTCCATATAATTTATGCGTGGAACATATACCAATATATTACTTCATAAACCATTCAGTGTCTTCATAGAATTTCAGTATAAATCATTATTGAGATCCACCTCACCTAGTGATGAGATAATGTCATTTATGGAATAAATAAATGTTAAATAAAATTGAGAATCCATTGGATTAGGTTTGTTATTTCAAAAACTAACCAGATTACAAACATAAGATTGTCAGAACTAACCAGATTACAAGTTTAGATAATTGAACCACATAAATAGTAAACATATAATCAAGAACCAACAAGACCCTTGTGCCGAGCGTAAGAAATTATCCACAGAAAAACAGATCCAGAAGCCAGAGTTGTAAGAAAGATTACCTAGACAAAACCAGTTTATAAAATTGCATTATTAGCCCAAACAAGAGAGAAAATAAAAACTAATGATTAAGTTTTACACTAATTACAAAGAAACCCATAAACTTACAAACTTATGTCATTGTTTTTACCCTAATCAAGAACTAATTGTTTGTTTACAATTAGATCAGTTCAAAATGAGTTGCTTTTGGTTAACCAGGGGTAATTTGGAAAAAAAAAATAGCATTTAAAATAAAATAATTAAAATTAATTTGATGTAAAAGTATGAGAAAGATAATATGAAGTGATAATTTGTTAAAATTATGTGAGTGAACAAATATTGAATTAAGTTGATGAAATGTGTAAAATGATTGATTGTTATTGTTTAGTTGCATTGATAATATTGAAAATAGTGAGGTTAAATTATAGTTGAGTTAGATTTTGAGTATGAATTGAGTATAAACGGAGTAATTTTGTTTACAAACGCCCTTAGCACTCATGTTAACAAACACCACTTACTATAGCTTTTGAAAAAGTACTTAATATCCAAAGATGGATGGCTTTTTTAGTTTCCACTTTTATGTTTTGTTTCGTGTTTCATTTCATTAAAAGTATGACACGTGTACATGATGAAGTCATACATGGACACGTGTCATTCATCCTATAGAACAAAACACGAAACATAATAGAAAAGTGAAATACTGAGTCCTGGGTTATGTTTGGTAATCAAATAAGCTAGTGTATAACTTATTTGGCTAGTAATAAGTTTCATTTGGTAGGACGGGTTTTTTTTTAAAAAAAACAAGAACTTATCTCATAAGTATTTGAGTAGCTTTTCAAATAAACTCGGTGAAAATTTTATTTCAGTTAGCTTATCAGCGAATTTTAGTAAACACTTTTATTATACAAGCTAGTTTTTCCGTTATAAGTCCTAAGTTATAAGCTATGAGCTCGAAAATCACTTATAAACTATAAGCTAACTCAGCTAGTTTTACCAAACCTGATAAACTTAAGCGTACCCATTTAAACAGATGGCCGTGGCTTTCCCTCCACGGATATGGAATGTTCATTCCGAAAATTGCTGCAACTAACGAATACATCGACAGGCAAACCGTGCCGGAACTTAGAAAGAGCTCCAACTGTACAAGAACAAGACAATCAAACTAAAATTTTTCTTTAAGTTTTTACACGTGCATTTGTGCGGTTTCTATCGAGTTTTGATATTAATTTATCTGTACGAAGACTTGGGCCGATATATATACCTGAATCAGTTGATTCCGATGATTATCCAGCTGCAAAATCCAAGATTATATGTAATTTCATCAAACACAAACTGCAACGAAAACCGACATATATATACATTTTCTAGTGACATAATTGTTCTGTTCTCTTGCTGAATTAACTATAAAAATGGACATTAAGATTCGACATTTCTTGATAAAAGGTTTGATTTTTGTACTTAAATTTTGTACCTGTATATTGATGTAATCCTCTGTGTCATCGATATACTCCCTCAACTGATCAAACAAAAAGAAAATTGAACTAAAATGAAAGAACATTCTTTCATTGTTCTTCAAAAACCTTTACAAAAAAGATGTCAGCTAAAGCATAAAAAAAAAAAAACGATACTCTAATTTTTCTAGTTTATTATGCACTATACCGTAGTTAGCTTATTCATCGTGCTTTCGACTTGCATGAAGTAAGCCTGCAATGAATAATAGACTAAGCTCAACAGATTTATAAAATTCAAACTGATATAAAATAACAGAAGTTCATTTCAACCAATTTCCTATAATAAAAAAAAGCAAGAATTAAAACCTCAAGAAGCATTTCAAGTTCCTCAACATTGTTCTCATCTTGTGTACTTTTAGACATATTTGAGGTTGTTAATGGAGATTCATCTGCCACCAGCTGCCACCTGTCACATCCATAACCGCTCGAGACAGAAGCTGACATGGCAGATTTTCTCGAGAGATAAAGATCCGCCATGTCATCGTCATCGTCCAGAAGTTGTTCCAGTTCATCCCTTACCTGTACACAGTGTTCTTTTACATGTCAATTAGAGAAAAAGTGCATATTTATGCAAAAACACCCTTTAGAATTGGTTTTTCACCAAAATAACCTTTCAAACATAATTTATAAAATTCTAATACAATTTTTTCAATGAAGATTTTCTTTTTTTTTTTTAAACAAACTTGATGTTCACCATCTCAAATTGTTCCATTCATTCTTATATGTAACTATATAACTTTTACAGATCGAGGAAATGGAAATTAAGAACATACCTTTTGAACCCGACTTATCAACCGAGTCATAGCGCTCTTCATTTTACGCACACGGTCCAAGTTTCGACTGCTGGTCTAAATTAGTACAAACTTTATGGGACCATTAGAGAAAAAAATGATGAAAGAAAGTGCATGAAAAAAACTTCAAAAGCATGTCCAAACTAAATTAACTCATTAATTAATTACCTTTGCAGTGAGCTCATCTAAAGCCGGGTAAGCATCAACTTCCAATTCTCTAGTTTGAGTATCGAGAGAGCTACAAACACCCTCTAACGCTACTTCTAAAGCTCGGATTTCGAATGGAAGTTCTTCTTCAACACCAACTATATATACACAAAGTTTTTAGTTAACTACGACACCTTTCGAGAGAAAAAGCTTTCAGTGTTGGTCGAAAGCTTAAAATAAAGCTTACATACCTTAGTATACCTACAAACTGCAATGTGACTTGATTTTGGAATGAATAACTTAAAACAAGCAAATTTTATAGCTAATAATCAAAAGTTCTAGTTTTGAAGTAATCTAACCAGTTTTTTCACTAGTTCCAAATTTACTGCTACCGAACTCTTCCTCTTCTTCTTCTCCTCCTTCCCCTCGACCCATGGCCAAAGGCAATCTTTTCTGGAGTTCTTCAACAACCGGCATAACATCATCATCGAAAGGGTCCCTTAATAATACCTACTTAGAAAAAAAAAATGAAAAAAAAAAACTCAGTAAAACCCACTCATTTAATCCTCCATTTCTTAGCTCAATCTCAGGAAAATAAAAAATATATCAGCTATGTATGAAAATTACAAATGCCTATTGAGAATTAAGGAGGCCTGAGACTTGCCTCATCTGTAGTTATTATAGCCTTGATATGCTGCAAAATTACACATAATCATTGAAAAACAAAAAGATATATATTAAAACAGAGGAAAAATCTTGAAATTGGTTTAACAGAGACAGAAATTTGTGTTATTTTACCTCCAAATTGAGGACAATTGCTTTGCCTCTGGCAAGAATTGCAGAAGGATATGAGAGCAAAGGGTCGATAATTCGAAGGTCTCTTGCATTGATTTCGACTCTTTTCATGATATCATATTTGTCCAAATCCAGGATTATAGCTTGCCCATTGCTGTCCAAAGCTATCCAGTTTCTTGAACCCACACCTTTCTTCTTAAAACACATCATCACAGCAAAAGTCCCATGTTCCTATCAGTAAATTGCAGTAAAAGTTGGTTTAAGCCAGCTGCTCAAGAAAATTGATGCATATATTTGAAGGTGAAAACACCCATCAATCTTGATATTTGAGTGGCCATGAACTTTTTCTTTATCATGTGATAAGTACATGCACTGTGTTTGACTGTTTTTGATCAAAGAATGTTGAAACTAGTCTAACAATTAGACATGGTACTTTTTACGTATAGTTAGTTCACTTTAAACAACAATATTTGTTTACATGCAGTTTTTAGGGAAAATTCATTTGGAAGACTTAACTTTTTTAATATATGTATTAATTTAAGGCTTGAATTTTATACTTTTTCAAAAGAAGGCTTACATTTTAGATTATTCTCACTTTTAAAATTAGTATACACAACCCCTACGATGCATGTAACTGATAATAAAATACATTATATTCATTTCAAAATAAGTGTCATTTTTAAATTTTTATTCAGAAATTCGATTTGACTACAATGTGATTCCATAAAATATTTATTTTAGTAAAATTTTGTCATATATTTTAAAAAATTTATTTATATGAATAATAAGTATACTTCATTAGCTAACAAAATTGAATCTTTTACCATAAAACATAACTACAAATTCTTAATTACCCATGTGAGAGATGAATGAAATCTGACAAAATGCAACTGGGCAGCATGAAATCACACAATAGCAAAAAAAATTGAATCTTTTACAATAAGTCATAACCTATCACACAAATTAAGGGAAGCATTTAATGCTTTTCCATTTTACTTAATAAAATAATTTAAAAACTTACCCAAATTGGTAAGTATTTAATGCTAACAGAATTTGACTTGGATTTGACCTGCCATTTTAAAAAAATAGTTATTCTTTTTATATGTATATAGATATAGATATAGATTTGCTATCTTGCATGGCTACAAACAATGAAACAAAAATAAATACCGATAACTTTCCCACGTGATAACTTATTTTGCATGCTATGAAAAATAAATACGGAAAACTAGAAATTTGTTTCACTTTGTTGTAGGATTTAATTGATTTTAGTTCAAATCGGATTAGTGGCACTCAATTATCAATCAAATTCGAATAGATTATTGAGTTAATCTTATAAAAAAAGTTTATAAAATCGATCAAAAGTACTAAGTTAATTTTATAAAAAAGTTTACAAAATCGATCAAATTTATTGAGTTAATCTTATAAAAACACAAATTGGTAATTGATCAAATTGAAAAGAATTACTCAGAGAGTCAGAGTTGATATATAAAGTTCAACCTATCACAATATAATCATACTAGAAGATATTTGCATTAAAAATAGTTGCATGGATGAGAAAGGTTTAGAAATATATAAACATACTAGAAAATATTTGCATTTAAAAATAGTAGCATGGATGGGAAAGATTTAGAAATAGTTCCTCCCATCAAAATTCATTTTCAAATTTAAAATATTTTTTTAAAATATCTCTTATAAATCATTTTTTATTTTTATTTTTTAACACTACGTATTTAATTCTCGACTATTATTTTGTATTCAATGTAAAAAAATATAAAATAATTAATTATGATTAAAAAAATATGAATCACATTATATAGTCAAAAGTGATACCAATAAAAAATACATAGTTGTTACAACTCATTATAACAAAACAAAAAAAAAGAATTAAAATAATACATCTTTCTACACTATTTTATAACAACTCATTATAACAAAACAAAAAAAAATAATTAAAATAATACATCTTTCTACACTATTTTAATAGATAAATGTAAGAATAAAGATTATTGTTATAGCTTATTTACATGATGTTTAAGAACAATTACAAGTTTAGAAATATTTTAAGAAGATAAAGATTTTGTAAAATAATCTCTAATATAATGATGTTCAAGAACAATTAAAAATTAAAAAATATTTTACAAAGATCATGTCAATTTAATATCAATCATAAATAATATATTTCAAAATATTATGAAGACATGTAGAACCCTTTTTCATAGTTATTGGAATAAATTTATTTAACCTATAGTTTCAATTTCTAACCATCAGTTTCTCTAACATTTGATTTTACCTATTTTTTTAATATTTAACTTATTTTTGAATTTTTTACCATTTTTTTTACAAATCTAGTTTTTATAGATAGATTGTACAAATATTTTCAAAATATTTTATAACTATTTTCAATTTGTATACTCAATATGTCCAAAATAATTGGTAGTTATATAGATTTCAAAAATAAATAATAATAGTTATTATACAAAAATATTACTAAAATAAAAACAATATATATATATATAAATGGAAATATACTATGATACAAAACATGGCAAAAACATATTGAAATAAATTTTTATGATAGAAATATGAGACTAATTTTAACGGCAAAAAATGATAGTAATTTCTGCTTACAAAATAAAGTAAATGGATTTATTTTTAGTTTTAAACATTATTTATAGATAAAAAAATAAATTATAAATACTTAGACCTTCTTGAATGCAAAGAACATAGCGAGTCGAATACATAAATAAATAAGTTTATAATTACTTTAGATGTTTTCCTTACTTTATAATATATTTATAATTACTTTAGAATATATTTATAATTATTGTTTGCCTTGCTTTATAATATAACCACACTAACCTAAGGTCATATAAGTTATAACCACTAACAAATTTTATAAATTTATAATATGACTACTAAAATACTTTGAGTTCGAGGTCTAGGTTTGAAATTATGCTAGTAGCTGATTTGGGTCAAATAAATAAATAAATTTATAATTACTTCGCTGCTGATTGGTAACACATATTTTTTTTATTAGATATACTAGATAAAGTGATTTGGTTTTTAATAAAATCCAATGACTGGAAATTTAATATTTTAAAAATAATGATTAAAATATGAGAAATAATATTAAAATGAATTAAAGTTGATGTGATATGTGAAGATTTAATGATTGATACTATTTTGACTATATTGATAATAGTTGAATCGAATTAAATTAAAGTTGGATTTGGAATTGAAAAAATTATCTATTCAGCAATAATTGTTTATTTTTTTTCTCCATGTTTATTGCATTTTAGATAGTGGCCATATTGGCCTACAAGCTCATTAGGTTGTGTTTTTTCAGGCCTCTTTGTTCTCGTGCTGCCATGCTCAAATTGCCAGAAGTAAATGAGTCCGATAACTCATTTTCTCTCGTGCTGTCGTGCTCAAATTGCCAGAAGTAAACAAGCCGTCGAACTCCTAACAGTCAAACTCAAGCTTGAACCTTTTGTCGAGCTGACTCGTTAGCTAATCGAGCCGATAAAAAAATTGAGCCCAACTCATGAATCTAAATCAACAAGTCGAGCTAAATTAATAGTTCATGTAATTATGTGAAAATCATTATTTCGCGAGCCTTTCTCATTGACTATGAATAAGAAACAGAAAAAACTCTGCTGCAATTTAGTGTAAACAGTCTTATAAAAGGCTTATCTCCATTTGCAGTCTGCAGAACATGTAAATAATGTAATCTATTAACTTTTGTTTGTCTCTTTTTCTCCTATGAACACCTCAGCAAGTTTATTTTATGCCCACCAAAAGAATAAACAGCCATATAGATTCCTACAAGAATGGCTATCAAGTTCTCGAACCATATTTACCGATAGTCGATAAAGATATTGATCAAAGAGTTGAAGCTTGATTTAGGTCACTGACCAAAATATTACAAAGCCCTAATGTTCGAACCCAGTTTCAGAATCCGAAAGCTAAATCCTGCAAAGAATATTTGTTTAAACGAATTAAAAAAAAGTCGATCAACTGTTCGGTAGAAAAAAAAAATGCAACAGAATAAATGATGAAAGGCCGAATTAGCAGGTACATCTGTTGAACGGTACAAATTGAAACTCACATACCACACTTGAATAATGCTGATCAACCATAGCGATTATAACACTTGAAGAAACAATAATACATCCATCAAAACCCAAAATTACTCTTCCTAACAAAATTGTCCAAAACAACAGAGAAGTATGCAAATAAACACTTGCATAGACCAAACACAACAAAGATTCGCTTACTAGGCCTGATGATAGTGATGGAGCTTGAACAACAACACTTTCCCAGCAGCATTTCCCATGGCCATAAATCCTCCACGAGGGCTAAAATCCACACAGCTCGGGTAGCCTAAATGCTGCGTCGCCCGAGGCCAGTTCGAAAATACAGTGTATGATGGGACATGGATCAGCTTCATGCTATTCTTCTTCATTCGTGAACCGATTGCTAAAATCTGGGCATCACAGTTAAATTTAGTAAAATCCACTCTTGTCGTCAGATTCTCAATTGCCTTCAGTGGCTTCCTCTTCCCGCCCAAAAATTCCTCCTCATTGTAAATATTCACAATCCCACTATCCGAACCAGCTGCAAACAAATTCCCAACGGGAGAAGTACAAAGAGCTGTGCCAGTAAGACAACCTTCATCAACACCTATGTGGAAACAAGTCCTTGTTCTAATATCCCAATGGTAGATCTTCCCGTCCCCACCAGAACTAAGCAATTTTTGCCCGTCGTTAGAAAATGCTACAGACTTAACCGAACCATTCATTTTCAATGTCCCGATTAATTCCTTTGTTTTTGATGAAACTAACAGAATGTACCCTTCATGGCCAAGAAAAGCAATAGTGCTCGAATCGGGGCTAACCTCAAAGTTTTCGAGACTCTTCTCTTCCCTACCTGCAAGAGGACCAAATTTATCCACACGGGCATTGACTAAATCGAAGCAGTAAGCAAATTTCCTCCTTCCTGAAACAATCGCTTGCGACCCATCAGCCAAAAATGCTGCTTTCCTAATCGGACAATCCTCGAGAAAAATGCTCTGTACCACTTCATTTTTTTTACCATCAACTTGAAAGAATCTCAATGTTCTGTCCAATCCACCCACAAGGAGAAGCTGTGCATTCTTGTGAAACTGAACAGAATTAATGGGCCCTTTTGAACGGTCCTTCACGTTTGCATCTACCAGCCTTGAATACTCGAGATGACCAGGTAGCAATTTCGTGCCCCTCTTCACGACAAGTTGTTCGTTTGTTCTGAGGATATTATGAGTGTCTTCTTCAATATCCCCATAACCACTGGCTAACACCACTCCCCCGCTTTCTTTCTCCGAATCTTCATCTTCTGAACCATAATCCTTCCTCTGGGCATCGGGCCGAGCCCAATCGGTCCCTGGGTTCATCTTCATATGAAGAGCCCTCAGCCTCGAAACATACGCTGAACCAGAAATCGTACTTTCGGCCTCTTCTTTCCTCAGCTTGCGCAATCTGTTGACTTTAGCTATGTTAATGCTAGCTTTCTCCTCCTCATCATCTATCCACGCGGGTTTTCGGCTATCCTTTATGTGACCCTCATCACTTTCTTTCCGTGCCACCATATCCTCCTCGTACACGGACAGCATACTATTTGCTGACTTGTCAGTGAAAAATAATGCAGTGTCTTCCAACTCCCCTTCACCTCCACCTCCTCTTTCTTCTTCTTCATCTTCTTCAACATCCTTTCCGAATTCAACCTTATTGTATAAGGAGCTGAATAAAATGTTCTCCAGCCTTTTTACTTCCTCTTCCTGCTCGATTTCGATTTGCTTGTCTTCTTCTGTCCGCTCTCGCTTCCTATTTCGATTTTTTTTCGCATCCAACTCATTTTCATTTTCAGCTTCGACCTCCTCCTGGACTTCCCCGATTATCGCAAGCTCGTTTACCTTTGCAACCTTCTTCTTCTTCTTGACCGTCTCCTTAGGCACAGCGTTTTGAGAAATCAAGCTCATATTCGCTAAGTCACCAGCTGATGTATGAATTTTCAAGATTGAGTTAACTTTAACAGATTCAAACAACCAAAATATCAGAAAATTTTGTGCGAACCTTCACTAAAGCAAGCAATTGACTGAGTTGGAAAGGGAAAAAAGCTAACTTTTCACGAATTAAAACACCAGAAAATTTCCCCAACAAATATGGTTCTACAAATAGCACGAGAGAAAATGAAAAGGTGAAGAGATTACCGATCGGTACCGGAGAAGCTAGCAGTGGATGATTCGCCGCCCGAATGAATGTCTTCGAAGTTTTGGGGTTCTACAGCTCTAGGGTTTTACAGGAGCATGATAGTGCAAATGGGCTAATTATAATCCAAGAATGGGCTTCGGCCATTAGTATATTGGGCCCGGGTTTTAGGTTGATTTCATCACTAATCACTAAGCTGTATTAGCTAGCTATTTCAGGATGGGCTCGTGGACTTTAATGGATTGAATTGGCCTGATTTTTTTCATTGATTAACTTTTGCTGCATTCATTGTTCTTTATACTATTTTTATAACTGTGATACACTTTAATTAAAATAATAGGAGAATGCTACCATCCCGTTACGGGATGGTTCCATTGTATTTTGTAGCCATAGATATACATGTAATCCAGTGATGAGTAGTTAATCCAACGCTTAAAAACACAACGGAACAATCCCGTAACGGTATGGTAGCATTCTCCAAAATAATAATAGGGGAGAAAATCCCAAGGCCCGCAATTTCGGGCTCCCGGGCTATGAAGACCTAGGTCGGGTTCCCTTCCAATTTGAATCTCATTTTATTTTTCATATATGGCTACAATTGTAAATGAGTCGCATTGAACTCGAGCTTCCAATTATCGGCTTCAGGCTCGAACCATTATTAATCCCAATCGAGCTCAGCCCATTAACTATGCTATGTTCACTAA